TGCCCCTGCGCTGCCTGGGAGGTTGTTTGGTCCCTCAGAAATGGCCCAACCTGCGCAAACAGCAGCAAAACTAAAGTTATTTGCACACGTCACAACTTCAATTAATATAATTGGTTCCCTCCCCATCAAGGACCATTAATTTATTTTCATCTCAACTGGACAACGCAAAAGTTCCGCGTTTCTTTTGCCTTGAAATTTTTTGGGCCGACCTCAGCTTTAGTTATAAAATCCCAGATACCAGAAGGGACAGGAGAACGTAAAGAAGGTAAAATTATATTAATATTTTACAGCAAAACTTACTGATGCTGGTTTTCAACCCCACCTCTGGCTTCCCAGAGGAAACTGAGCCCAACACGAAGCCAAGAAGCTTTTTTTTCCAACTCAACAAATACCTCCTCGTTTGACCTTCCCCGGAGTGAGCCAAGCCTCATTTGCATATTAAATGAGGATAATAACAGGCACTCTGGAAGTGCTGAGCCTCCTCAGCATTTATGGTATCAATGCCCTCCCAAAACAGTCATTAAAAGTTACTTTAGCAATGTTTGTGTTATTTAAACACCAATGGTTTGGTGCTGAAAGGGGCCTCGATGCACAGGGAAGGGAAGCCCTGGGCTAACGAGGTTTTGCTTCATTAAAACTAAGCCGTGGCAGCACTTGGTGCGGGCTGACAGAGGCACAGACGTGTTTCCCTGGGTAAAACCACCCCGGGATATCAGGGAAGTGATTCCCGCTTTCCTGGATCGGGACAATCCCTCCTGCAGTGGGGGAGGTCCCTCCGCAGCCTTTGGGAAGTGAGGGGGCACCTCCACCCTCAGCTCTCCATTCCACTGACTTCCCTACCTTCCTAAAAACTGCTCTCCCTCCTTTCTCTGCTGCAACCCCCGTGAGGGACCCTCAGGGAACCCGGATTTGTTCTGCAGCACCAGGTCCTGGGCCCGTGTTATGTTTGTAGAATCATGGAATGGTTTGGACTGGAAGGGATCCTAAAGATCACCTAATTCCAGCCCCTGCCATGGGCAGGGACACCTCCCACTAGCCCGGGTTGCTCCAACACGGCCTTGGACACTTCCAGGGATGGGACATCCACAGTTCTCCTGGATCAGCTGTGCCAGGGCCTCCCCACCCTCACAGGGAACAATTTCTTCCCAATATCCAGCCTAAATTTTCCCTCTGTCAGTCTGAACCCACCCCCCTTGCCCTGTCACCCCAGTTCCTGATGAACAGCCCCCTCCAGCTTCTTTGCAGCCCCTTCAGACCCTGGAAGGGGCTCTGAGGTCTCCACACAACCTGCTCCTCTCCAGGCTGAACATTCCCAGCTCTCCCAGCCTGTCTCCACAGGGAAGGGGCTCCAGTCCCTTTATCAGCTTCGTGGCCTCCTCTGGACTTGCTCCAACAGTTCCATGTCCTTCTGATGTTGGGGGCCACCAGAGCTGGACTCATATTCCAGGTGGGACCTGAGCAGAGAGGAGCAGAGGGGGAGAATCTCAGATATATAAACACGACATAAATACCTCCTCGATGCCTCTGATACCCCAAGACACTGACTCAGAGAAGTCTTTCTAGTAATTTCACCCAGAAAAGGGGCAGGAAAACCAGACTTTGAGCCTTGACCACATTGCTCAGATGCTGATTTAATTGATCCTGGGCCTGGACATCTCACAGGACAAATTAGAGGCAGCAGAAGAACCGAAAAGAATCAATGGCACGTCTGTCATTAATTGTGGCGGAAATGAATCAAAAGGGTCGGAAGGAGCCCTGAGCAGGTTGGACAATATTTCTTTTCTCCCCAGGTGTTTTACATCACCCCATAATGTGCAGCATCCACCTCCCTTGGAGGGGCACAGCTTAAAGAAACGAGCCCTGGACTCCTCAGCTGGGGCCGCCCGTGCAGCTGGAACTGCTCCGTGCAGTTCCACTTCCAGCCCCACTTGTCCTCTGGGGTGATTTCCCAGAAATCCCTTTGTCCTGGAAAGTTTTTGGATGAAAGAATCTCCCGGGGTGTGATCACGAGGCCCTACCCGAGGAATGTGAAAATTGGCCTAAACGGGGAGGAAAACAATTACAGCAATTGGGCTGCTGATGTACTTCCCAAATTTGTCCCGTGACTGCCCTGGAGAACTGGGGTGACTTCCACGGGTCTAAGAAGGAATATAAAAATGCTCACAAGCCCAGTGCTCCTCACAGAGCTCCTCTTGCTTTACTCCTCTCAGTGACCTTGGTAAGTCCAGATCCCATTCTCGTAAAGATTCCTTTAACTCGGGGATAAATCCTGCACTAACAAGGGTTTTACCCTGGATGTTTTAATCTGGAGGGCATTGATGAGTGGACATGAAGATGTGAAGCCTAGGTAGAAGTTCTGTGTTTCTTTTTTAACCTGGTGATACTTAACCCTGAAATTTTCATTCATGGGCAGAGTTGCCCATTGCACAAGGAGGAAATGGTTTTTGGTTGGAAAGATGTGGCAATAATGAACATGGGCAGGTCACATGGATTGTTTTAGTGGCTCTGGAGTCACTGGGGCAGCTCTGACCTGCAGCAATCCAGGATTTAAACCTTCACTCTGCAGCAGAGGATTTTCAGTGTCCTCGCTAGAACCAGCACCAACAAAGCCAGTGTTAGACAGGAAAAGGAATAGTTTATATGCCAATATTAAAGCCAGACAAGGAGGGCTGAGACTTTAATGAACTTGCTGGGTTGTGTATAAACACTTCTAAGAACTTCTGGAAGTGCTGTGAGGGATCCAGGTCAGATTTAGGACACCTGAACATCTTGTCCTGAGCTCGGGATTTACCTCAGCTGCCTGGGCTGGGAGTTTGGACATCAAACTCCCACAAACACTTCATTTCTTCTTCAGGAAGAATTTCTTCATGGAAAAGGTTTTGGAAGGGGCTGCCCAGGGAGGTGGGGGAGTCCCCAGCCTTGGAGGTGTCCAGGGAAGGACTGGATGTGGCACTGAGTGCTCTGGGCTGGGGGACAAGGTGGGGATGGGGCACAGGGTGGATCCATGATCCTGGAGTATTCTGGGACTCTGTCAACATGTCCCTGCTCAACGTGGAAAATCAGAAGAGCAAACTCATAAAAACCAACCAAAAACCAAGTTACTGCAGCAAAGTGAAGCCTTTCCCACACTCAGTGCTCTGGGCTGGGTGACAGCTTGGGGCTGGGTCACAGGTTGGACTCTTGGAAGCCTTTTCCAGCCTCAGTGATCCCGTGAAATGAGAATCACACCCAAACAAAGGGATTTGCTCCCTGTTTCCACCCGAACCCTCCCCACTGCAAGCCGAGCTTAACCTCGACCTCCCGCTCTGTTTCAGGTTCTCCTCCCTCCCTCCCCGCACCCCCCCAGGATGTCCTGCTGCTGCTACTCCCCCTGTTACACCCTGTGCTGCTCCCCCTGCTACCGGAGCGTGCGCTGCTCCCGCACCTACAGCTGCTGCAGCCCCTGCACCGTGCGCACCCTGCGCTGCTGCCGCCGCACCTACGGCTGCGGGGACTGCTGCGGGTACCGCGCCCGCAGCACCCGCTACTGCTACCCCTCCTGCTGCTACCCCTCCTGCTGCTACTCCTGCTGCTAAACCCACCACGGACCCCCCGGCCAGGCCCCCAGACCGAGGGCTGAGCCCCGACGGGACGCTCGGACACGCGCCGAGTCCCCGCCGGGGCACCCGAGGCCACGATGGATGAGGAGCTCGGCCCCGCTCTGAAATAATTCCTTGGGATTTCTGCTTTTCTTGCTCCTTCTGTCTGCTTCTCCCTGCCTTTCCCAACCCTCCTGGTAGTCTCCTGTATTTAAACGCCCTCACAGCCCCGTCAGCGACGGGAGGGACGATCTGCAATTCCTGTGGAGCTTCTTGCAGCCGCTCTGAAGGACCTGTGCAATATGAGATTTTGGGTCATCTGCATTTTCAATAAGTACTTCCAGTAAGGTGCTGCAGGACTGTAATGGAGCAGGATTATGTCTGTCTCGCCTTTGATCTGGATTTACAAGCACCTGGAGGATGAACAACGCGGCTCCAACAAGAAGGAATGTTCTCCAGTGCAGTGACTCACCTCCTGTAGCTCCTTCCAGTATCCCAAAACTATAATCTTTCTGTATCTCTGCCAACTCTTTTTCTTGCTGCAATAAAGTCTTTCTGCATTTAAAAAACCCTGGAGATCCAGTTGTTTTCTTGCCTCTGTCCCTGTTTTATGTGAATACACGTAAAGTGGTGAGTGGTGACATCCTGAAAGGATTTTCTGTCCCCAGAGCTGGCAAAGCATTTGCACCTCGAGTTCTGTGTCCTGTTCTGGGTCCCTCATGGAAAGAAAGACGTTGAGGGGCTGAAACATGTCCAGCAAAGGGAACAGAGCTGGGGAAGGATCTGGAAAATCAGTCTGCTGAGGTCCCAGTAAATACACTCTTCTCTTCCCTTTTACCCCCCAGAAATGCAAGAAATTCCCCAGTTTCTCCCTTTCATTTACTTAATTAAACTATTACCAGATTTAAGGTTAAATGTGCTGGTTTTGCCTGGGGTGGAGTTAATACTTCAGTACAATAGGGCTGTAATGGTCTTGATAATAATGCTGCAAATATAAAAGAATTAGTCCCAGACCTGCACAGAGAATACAGAAAACTATTTAAGTGAGCAGAATATTGTCCTATTCCTGCAAGCCAAATTCAATGTTCTTGTTCCAGAGTTCTTGTTCAATATCAGGTCACAGGCAGTGATGGCTCATGTCCTGATCACACCACACTGGCCCAACAGCAGCACCGCAGCATCTGGAGATGAATTACTTATTTCCCACCAAGCCAAAGCCTGGAGTTGTAGGAACATGCAAATCCAGAGCCACAGCTCAAGTTTCTTGCCGCTCCAAAAGTCCCTGTTTCCAGCCTGAGGAGGACAAGCCTCCACAGGCAAGTCCTGAAGCGCACCAAGTTAATAAATTTATCACTGTTTGCTGCTATGGATTTGAAGATACTTCAGAAATAAAGTGGAAAATAAAACCAGGAAAATGCAGGATTGATGCAGAATAAGTTTTTAATAGGAGTGAAAGGCAGATGTACTTTATAAAGAGACACAGAACAGAGAGACCACATTCCCAAAGACACCTTTACACCCTGCCCACCACCCGGCCAGAGCTCGGGCTTTGTACATCGTTGCAAACAACATCAGAGCCGGTTCCCGAGGACTGGAGCACCGAGGAGAAGCAAGTTCTAGGTCGAGGGGAGACTCTGGGTGGCAGGAGCAGCAGCAGACACCGAGCAGAACGGAGATGGATCATCACAAGCACCCCGAGGGCAGCACAGGGCTCCCGAAGCCGCCGCGGAGGGCGGGCAGTGCCCTGCAAACCCTCTGCTGCCGAGGTTCTCCATCAACCCCTGCTCGCCAGGCTTGGGCTGACCTTCCCCCGAGGGCCGTCCCGGCCGGGTTCACCAGCTGTAGCAGCCCCCGTAGCGGCCGTAGCGGGAGCCGTAGGGGTACCCGTAGCGGCCCGAGTAAAACCCGGGGTATCCCCAGCAGTCCCCGGAGCCGTAGAAGCCCCGGTAGCCCCCGTAGCCGTAGCAGTCCCCGGAGCCGTAGAGGCCCCGGTAGCCGTAGAGGCCCCCGTAGCCGTAGCGGTCGCCGTAGAGGCCGCGGTAGCCGTAGAGGCCCCCGTAGCCCCGGTAGCCGCAGGGGCTCCCGCAGTCGTAGCCCCGGTAGCCGTAGAGGCCCCCGTAGCCGCAGGAGGAGTAGCAGTCGTCGTCACACTGGCCCTGGAGGAAGGTCATCTTCGTGTGCTGGAGGCAAACCTGGCGGCGGGGAGGGAAGGAGAGGCCGTGAATATTCCCGTGAATATTCCCGTGAATGTTCCCAACGGCAGCGACAGAGCCCAGGAACTTCCTCAGGGGTCCCGCGAGGCCGAGGGCAGGAGCAATGTCGTGACCTCAGCTCCTCCCTACAGCCCATTTCTGGGATTTATTTATCCACAGAGTGCCACAGACGTGCTGGGTTGGAAGGGACCCACCAGGACCATGGAGTCCAGCTCTCAGCCCTGCACAGGACCCTCCCCAATCACAGGATATTCCAAGTGGGAAGGGACCCACAAGGACCATCAAGTCCAGCCTGTCTTTAAACTATTTGGTTTTCTCACTTTCTGTGGTTGGTGAAAACCCTGACCGTGGAATCACCTGTTACAGACCAAAACCTTGCTGCTGACTCAGGATTTTTCTCAGAGAATATTAGTTAGGAGTGAGCAACCCTAAAGTTCTTTCAGGACATCAGCTTTGCATGGAGCTCTGCATTCCCAGCTCCATCAAGGAAGTCTTCAAGAAAGCCCAAAGTGATGTTTGGGTTCATCCCTCCAAGTGCCATTTCAGTGATTTCCACCCATTTTAATTTGCATCTGGAAGTGCTGACAGCACACACAACAACCTACAGAGCATTAACACACCTGAGAACACCTGTCCTGCCAAATAGACCCGCAGATCTCACTTAAAAGAGGAGATTTATGGAAAAAACCACTGTAGGTCATGGTGGGGAAACCCATTTCTACCTCTGCTCCCCTAATAATCCTTTATCAGGGAGCCTCAGGTACCAACAGGACCCATTTCACCCCCAGCTGTAAAACTTGAACCCACCAACTCCTGCAGCGCAGCTCAAACCGTGAATTTCAGAGAAAATCCCGGAGAAATCCTAAATTTCAGAGCAGCCCCAATCCCAGCAGAAATCACTCGGGCAAAATTCCCAATCCCTGTGAAGAAGGAGGGAAAGCTTACCGAGTTCAGCGGGACGAAGAAGGCAGAGGAGCTGATGAGGAGCCCGGAGCTCCCGGCCCTTTTTATACTCCCTGCTGGCCCTCCTGGCTTATCTCAGACGCCCTGAGTATTCAAAAAGGTTTGGAGCCTTATTGGTTGGAAAACAAATTTGCCTGTGCACGTCATATCTTCAATTAATATAATTTTCTTCATTGTTTGGGATTATTAGTGTGTTCCCAGCCTCCCATATGGCACATGTATTACAGGTTCCTTTCATCTGCCAATTGTCTGGGCCAGCTACATTCCTGATACCATTTTATTGTCTCCGTTGTGAAAACTGGAGTTTATTTCTGCATAATATAAAAGTCATTTCTGCCTTCTCAAGGACATTGGAGAGAGAGAAATTTTCAGCAAAAAAGGAAAACTCTTCCATGTATTGGATATTTGTTTTTCACTAGAAACTGGTGCAACACGACACAGGCTTTTGATTTAAAGGAAAAGCAAATGTAGATGTAGGAGTTTTATATCAAACTTCAGCAACTCAAGGAAAAACAGCCAGAACTATAAATAAATCTTAATTCCATTCCTCCAAAGTGCTCATGAATCGAAGTCATGTTGCTGCATGAGCAGAAAGAATGTTTTCAACAAAAATTACGACCCTGGCGTTGTTTGCAACACTTCAATTCACTAAAGGGCTTGACCTCAGCACAACAACGTGGAGAATTCAAGTATGAACTTGATGTGGAAATAAAGAAATCATAAAGATTAGCACTAAAAGAGCTCTAAATGCTATTTTCCAAAGAATCACGTTCATATTTTTTCCACAAAGGATCAACCACGTGCATCCAACTCCAGGAACGCCGGAGTTCACGGCAGAACTCCTTGGGTGACCTTCACCTAATTCCTGGCATTAATTTGAATGGAAAATAAGCGTAATAATGAGCAAACAGGATGTTGAGGCTTCCTCAGAATTTTGAATACCAAAGCACTTCATAAACACTCATTAATGTTTTCAATTTGCAAAGTGTTGCAGGATTTAAATATTAATAGTTTGTCACCGAAAGACACCTCCAGATTTAATAACATGGTCACTTCCAAGACACTTCAAGGTCTCTTGTTTCCAAGCCCCATTAAGGTGCTGCTTTTGTTGTATGAAAGTCAAAAACCATTCCCCCCCCCCATAAAAATGTTCTAAAATAGGAAGGGATATTTGGGAATGTTCACAGGGCAGTTGGAAAACATCTTTGACGTTGGTGTTGTAGAACCCGAGACCAAAATCCAACAGAGCTGCTGGGAAGGGACACCCCCCAGGATCACTGGGAAGCAGGCAGAGGTCAGGATGATGCTCAGAAGCTCCAGCCCTCCTCGGCACACCAAAGCCGAGCCCGTGCCTTTGGTCCCCAACTTGTTGCACCACAGGACGCCAAAGCCAAGCCAACGGAGCAGCCACGAGGCGATTGCGCAACGGGCAATGGTCTGAATGGCTCCCCAAATTATTGCCAGCCCTCCAATTCCACAGGGAATTCCCTGCAATTTTCCCAAAGATGCGCCGGGCTCGTTTCTCATTGATTGGAGATTAAAGCAATTCTGGAGGTGTTACGCGCGTGTCGCGACGCCGAGCTCGGGAAATATGAAAATCGGTGACTCCGCTGACGTCAATCGGAGGGACAAAGGGTCTGATGAGATCCCCTGGATAACTCTGGAGCTCGGGAGGGTATAAATACGGACCTCCGAGCCCGGAATTGCATCCACTCCTCTCAGCCACTCAACTGCTCCCCTCGGTGAACCGGGTAAGTCCATCCTGACTCTGCTCTCGTGTCTCTATGTTTGTCTAAATATCTGTGTGTGCTTGGATATATATAAAAATATATATATTTATAATTCAATTTATATCTATAAAAGGTACTGGTGTGTCCATATATATGTGACATATGTAACGTGTGTCTATGTACAGGTACAGACCTTCTGTAAGAAATTTCTTGTCATTTTGGAGCAAATTCCAACCACAAAATTCCCTGCAATCGCAGGGAATTCCTTCACTTGAACTTTTTTGCTCTTCTTCCCTGTGCTTACTGAATATTTAGGCTTTAAAGCGTTGAAAACTTGAAGTTTTCTTCCATAATTTTGAAGCCAAAAGGGATTTCCAATTCTGGATTATATTTGTGTATTTTTCTCTAGTTTGTTAAAATTCCCCTGAATTCCAGAGTGGGAAAGTCCAGCTCTCGGTTGGCAAAAACCTTCTTTTCCACGTTCAGTCAGCGATTTCCAAAAGCCGAGGGGGAACAAATTAGAGAAGTTGTTTGGGGTTGGGGAGATTAGAAAAATAAATGAGATAATTAGGAGGATGAACACAGGAGGGAAGGAGTTGCATCTCTTTCCAGCCTCTCCTCCTGCCGTCAGCAGCCCATAAACCTCATTTCTGGGTGTGTTCCAGGCTCACCAACATCAACAAACGATGACCTTCTACAGGGACTTCTGCGACGACGGGTGTTACTCCCAGTTCGGATACGACGACCTCTACGGCTTCAGATTTGGGAGGCCCTTCAGCTACTCCTGGGATCAGTTCCGCTACGGGAGCCCCTACGGCTACAGGGGCTTTGGGAGCCTGTTTGGGAACAGGGGCTTCCTTGGCTACGGGGGCTGGTACGGGGACCTGTCCGGGTGGGGGAGTGGATATGGATGGGGGTGTGGATACCCCTTCTCTCGCTTCGGGGGCAGGTTCATCTGAAGCAGGAACAGCAACCAAGGACTGAAACGCAGGACACGGACCCACGGCTGATTTCTGGGGCTGAGAACGCCCAGGGCCCACCCCCCTGGCTGAGTTCAGGGGGACACGTGGGTGCCGGGCTGCCTGAAACTGCTCCACGTGTAACTACTCCCTGTGTAACCACTCCAAGTGTAATCCTCTCTAACGTCTCCTGTTTCTTCAGCTGTAGCTCCAAAGGGCAACTTGAATTGCAGCAAGAGCTGAGGCACCTTCAGAGCATGTTGGGGGAGTAGAGCAAGACTCTGGGTGTGAGTAAAGTGCCTTTTAGTTTTAATTCACAACCTCTTGGTATTGTCACAGTAGTAGGAGTTCCTGCAAGCACTTTGCTCAGCCTTTAACTTCACCCAAGATGACATCTAGTAGAGAAGCTCCTGTTCCATGTCCATGCTGTGCCTCATCTGGCAGTGAACGTGACTTCCAAGCAACTCTGAGAGCAAGAAACTTGTCCTGTGCTGTCAAACTCCACCATTCCCACCAGGAAAAGCATCACCCACCCTCAGAAACCCTCTGCTTGCTGAAGACCCTTTTGTAGCTCTGCAAACTTGTTCTTTCTGTAACTCACTGTTTCTCATTTTCATTAAAATTACTCTGTTTAGCTGCATCAGGTGTCTGGTCTTCTCTTGTCTGGGCTCACACACCACTTAAAAAGGACCACCAGCCACTCCAAAGAGCCATGGAATAGGAGAGAACTTTAGACTCCAGATGTTGGAGACAAACACCACATCTCCACCTGGATTGCTCCTGCCCTGACTCATTTCCCCAAGTAGGAGGAAGTTCTGCCTCAACTATCCTGTGACCTTGGGCTTGCCCAAATTCTTCTCCAAAAAGAGGCATCAGCTGACTGACTGTACCCCCAAACACAGACTCCTGGAGCAAAGCTGGGGGTTGTGGTTGAGCAAAAGATCTCAAAAAGCAAGAGATGGAGGGGAAGTCTCGTGCTCTGCCAGGGCAGGAGAGAGGTGACACTCAAGGTCAAAGACACCTGAGAGAAAAGACCAAAGGCAACCAAGCCACGACCATCTGCTGGAGGGATCATCTCCTTTGCAAACTGAACAGCCAGGTTCTTCAGGGAGTTCCTGCCAGCCTTTAGCATGTCACCCTAGGAGACTGAGGAGTCTTGATTTAGATTTAGAACACCAAAGATTGTAATCTGGCGCAGAACAAGGTGGTTCAGCAGGCAGAGCCCAGACAGGGCTGCTTGGATCCCCTGCAAGCCCAGCTACACATCAAAGGCATCACCAGGAGTCGCAAATCTTGCTGCAGAAGTGACTGTGAGGGGCCACCTCTGGGCTGACTTCCAGGAGATACCCGTGGCTACCCCTTCTCTTCTCATGGTGGCCTCCTGCAGAAGCACTTCTGCATTCCAGGGCAAAGTGGAGGAAAGGGTCAAGAAAAGAACTGAGGGAGGAGATTGGAGAAGCACTTTAACAGGGCACAAAACCAGGGACAGTCAGCAGAACAGTCCCCAAGCAGTAAATGCTGTTCCTCCAGTCCAACATCCATGTCACTGATTTCCCTTAAATTCTTTGCCCTTGAACAGGACAGCAGCAGAGGATGAGCCCCACAGCTCCATTTCCCTGTCTGGGAAGGAGCTGCCACATCCCAGAGGCAGGTCTGGTCTGCTGCCTCAGAAACCACCTCTTGGTGTCCTAATTTGAGCAAGACAGACCCAGATCAGGGTGCCCCAGGAAGAGGGTCAGCGTAGGAACCTCCACCCAAAGCTGCCAGCAGGGCACGTCCGCAGGAAACCAGAGCAACCCTTTGAAACTGCAGAGCTATTAAGAGATGTTCAGTAATCCTTCTGCTGGCTGCTGTCAGCACCAAAATGGGCTGGGTTCCCCAGGGAAAACATTAGGAAATGGTGGAGTCTCCCAACACTATAAATCCAGTTTATCTCCCTGGGGCTTTTCCCACCGGCACCTGCGGAAGGGCCTCGGCAGCGACAGGAACAGAACAGGAACAGAACAGGAACAGAGCCCAGAAAGCCAAAGGTCTGGGTGGAATTCTCAGCCCGCCCCAGGGTCCTCTGGCCCCAGTTTAACCTCAGCCCCTGTCCACATTTGCCAACCCAGCATTATTCATGGTGATTCTTCCCCTCCAACATCCCCCTCGGCCCGTTCGCTCCCGACAGCGGGAGCAGCCCCCACCCAGAGCCCGGGGAACACCACCCACAGGTGGTGATTTCCTGGCAGAAATCACCACAGCCTGCCCAGACCTTTCACCTGCCTTCACCTCCCTCCACCACGCTGACCTGGAGCCACCTGGGTGCCACCTCACGTCCCTTTTTGCTTTGAAGATGTCACGGCTGTGGCTCCCCCTCCACGCTGGGGGTGTCCCGAGGCAGCTCCTGCAGCCTCCCAGCCAAGCAAGCTCAGCCCCCCAGGGATCCAGGGAACATCCAGGATCTCCTCCTCTGCTGCAGGTCAAGCTTATGGGAACGCTGGAGCCCGCACAGGGAGGAAAAGCAATTTTTCACCCCGGATGCCCTCACAGGCTGCTCTGCCTTTAACTGGGACTGCATCTCTTTATTGCCCATCCATTCAAGCACATCAGGCTGGTTCAGGGAGTCCCATGTCTTTGTAGAATTCCAGCCCAGACCACTTCCAGGGCCCCCCAAGCATCAGCCTTCTCCTTCATGTGCCAGTGGCACCTGAAGAGCATTTTCCTGGGTTTATGTCATAGAATCATGGAATGGTTTCGGTTGGAAGGGACCTCAAAGGCCAATTCATTCCACCCCCCTGCCATGGGCAGAGACACTGTCCACTGTTCCAGGTTGCTCCAACCTGGCCTTGGACACTCCCAGGGATGGGGCAGCCACAGCTTCTCTGGGCAACCTGTGCCAGGGCCTCCCCCCCTCCCAGGGAACAATTCCTTCCCAGTATCCGACCTGAATTTCCCCTCTTTCAGTCTGCACCCACCCCCTTGTCCTGTCATCCACTTCCCCATGAACATTTCCCCCCTGACTTCCTCGTAGGCCCCTTTCATGAAGAGACTAAATCTGGAATTCTTTCGTGTCCCCAGGCTGAAGAAAAGGTGGATGATTAGAGGAACTTTGTTCCTGGCTCAGATATTATCATAACAGAGGCAGCTGCCTCATTTAACTAACAGAAAAACCACCTCTGTAATTTCCTGTGCACCAGTCCCAGCAGGATGTATTTACTGCACTGTGGGAAATTTAAATGCACCTTGGGAACAACCCACACAGGTGATGCCTCAGGACCTGCCTCCAGCACAGAGATTCACTGCGAGACTGAGAATCCCTTCTAAAGGCTAAGCCTGTCCTAAATGAGAAATTGGGCCCCTCACTAGTGCCCAAACTGGGCTAATTTTTCAAATTATTTCTCGAAAAGTGCAACTTTTAAGGAGAAGGGAAAGTGGGACATGATACAGGAAAAAAAATGGCCTTGCTGGAAGCAACAAGAGAAACAAGATTTTCAAAATTCAACATATTTAGATGAGTATTGTTAACCCATAATTACTGTTAACCCTGATAATTAGGTTCCATAATGAACCTAACAGACATCAGCAAATGCTTCTATCTTAAAAAGACATTAAATCTGCTTAGTAAGATACTTGATATCTTTAGTCCTCAGGGCAGTTCACATGAGTAGTTTTTATGGCAAAAAGAATAAAAGAGTATCAGAAATAGTTCCCAAAAAAACCACATTGGCAAATTGTCCTCATTTTACTGAATTTGCTGCTTTGTGGCAATTGAAGATCTCAAAATATTCCATGAAAAGTGCAACTGGAGCAGCCTCAACAAACTGTAGCTCATTCCCAAATGCACCATTAGCCTGACAATGAAGGTCCCTTCCTCTGGCTTTGGAGGTTTGGGGGATTTCTCTTGTTCAGGGAAGGATTTCTGTGGCTGGGGAGAATCTGGTTTAATCACCTCCTCCAGAACTCACCACCAGCCAATTACTCACCGTTACAGCACCCGGCCAGCTTTGTTTTCCTTACACAGGAGGACAATAATTCTGCACAGAGCGACTGCTCTGAAACAATCCCACATTCTCAGGTCACCCCACAATGCTTAATTACCCCGGTTCTATTATTAACAGACCACATAACATTTCAAACACAGCACAGCGTGGAAAGCTTGGGAAACCTTTATTATCAACAGATTGTGGTGGTTTGATTTAATGTAAATATATATGTGTGTGTAAATAAACCTTTGTAAATATTTTCCCTTTCCCCCAGTACCAAATAGTTGTGTTTTGTCTGAAAACTCTCCACGTGAGGTGAAAAAGACATCAAGTCTCACAGGGGCAAATTGTGGGAGGGGGGCTTGAACTTAGAAATTGGATCCTTGGGAGTTTCAAACCACCACACAGATTCCTGAGGAAAGTGATAATTCCTGCAGTGAACATCAGCACCCAGTTTTGCACACTCGGTTTCTATTGTTGCCCTTCACTTTAAGAAAGACACTGAGGAGCTGGAGCATGACCAGGGAAAGGGAAGGGAGCTGGGGAAGGGTCTGGAGAACTCCTGAGGGAGCTGGGGGGGCTCATCCTGGAGAAAAGGAGGCTCAGGGGGGACCTTCTGGCTCTGGAATTCCCTGACAGGAGGGAGGAGCCCAGGGAACAAGGGACAGGATGATTGTTGTAAAACACTGAGCAGAGCAGCAAAGCCAGAAATTTAATTTTTACCCTCAAAAATAGCTGCTCTCACATAACATTTGGCTGCAGACCCTTTCTGGCAGTGCCAACCCTGCCCATCCATCTGCTCCCTCGTGTCACTGCCTGGCTGGGGAGGCTGAGCCCGAGGACACTGAGGAACAGGGGCCAGAAAAGCCAACGCTGAGCAAAAAAAGCTCCTCCGAGCTGAGCAGGACCAGAAATGTGGGAAGGGAAGGGACACCCACAGCCCAGAGCTGCTGTGCCAAGGAAGTGCACAGACAACCCACTGCCAAATCCCTCGGGAATGTCATTATCCTGATAGGATCAGGTTGGTGCAGCAGGACAAAGGCACCTGGACGGGGAGGAGAGGAGGGAACACACACAAGGAGACCAACAACGTGTTGCAATGTCGTGTTTAATGAGGAAGAAGCAGCTGATACAGAGGCAGGATTACAAAGTCCAGGTCACAAATTGCCCCCAGCCTGTGGGTTTGGTGCAGGATGACTCCTGGAATGGCTGATGGGGACACTCAGCCCTGAGCACCCAGCACAGACCCAGGGCACGGGCTGCCTGACACCCCTTTTATCCACCAGTAGCCAGAGAAAGAGTCTACAAGGGGATCCAAAGAGGATCTCGTGCCAGATCCCTTTATGTTGTCACAGTCACAGAAGCACAGAGTGGTTTGAGTTAAAGACCATCTCATTCCACCCCAGTTGGGGTTGAAAGGGACCTTAAAAATCATCCCATTCCACCCCAATGCCAAGGGCAGGGACACCTTCCACTAGACCAGGCTGCTCAGAGCTCCATCCAACCTGCCCTTGAACGCTTCCAGGGATGGGGAATCCATGGAATAACCTGTGCCAGGGCCTCACCACCCTCCCAGGGAAGAACTTTTTCATTATATCTAATCTAAACCTATTCAAACCCAGAAAGATCCCTACGAGCCCCCAAGGAATGAGCAACACAGTCCACAGCACCAAAAACAGAGCACTTGGAAAGACAGGAAGGCTTAAGGAAAAAGGAAATCAGGCAGGGCAATCTGAGAGGGACACAAATGGACTTTTCGGGTGTTCACAACACCTGCAGACGCTTTTCGTGCACCCCAAACCCTCAACACTCCTGGGACGCTGTGCCCTGGGGCTCAGCCACGTCTCTGCACCCCGCTGGGCTCCTCCTCTGGGCAGAGACCCTCGGTGGGTTTAGCAGGGCCTGCAGCTCCCCACGGGGTACCCCCGAGCCCAGCGGGCCCCGCCGTACACGTGGGAAGCGCCGGGGGTGCGGGCGGCCCCAAATCCAGCCCCAGCCCCAACCTCGGGGGCTCCCGCGGATCCCACCACGCTCTGCTGGGGGAACGTGCTCAGGATGGGCCCGGGGAAGGTGACCACCACGGGCGGGGGGTAGATGACCACGGTGGAGTCGGGGCACTGCCGCACACACGGCTCGTTGCAGCTCTCGGCCACGGGCTGGGGCACGGCCACCCCGCAGGGAGAGGGGGAACCCTCGGTGCAGGGGCTCCGGGACAGCACCATCGTCGGGGAGGGAGGATCTGAGGGGACCTGAGGAAGAGCAGGGACACAGGACATCAGTTCTTATCAGCTGTGCCCTCAAACGCGGGGACGAGAGGCTGCAAAGAGGCTCGAGGGAAAGGCAGAGCTCTCGCAGGTCATCACCCAGAAAAAACCCTATAAATCTCATGTTGAACCCAATAAAATACAAATCTCATGTTGAATCCCAAAAAAACCTATAAATCTTGTGTTGAACCCAAAAAAACCTACAAATCTTGTGTTGAACCCAAAAACCCCTATAAATCTTGTGTTGAACCCATCTGGAAAGAGCCCTCGTGAAATGTTTATTCCAGAATCACGGAATATTGTGAGTTGGAAGGGACCCACAAGAATCATTGAGTCCAGCTCCTGGATCTCACCCAGATTTGCATTTACCAAAGCCAGTAGCTGAACACTAATTTATTCATTTACAGAATCATTAAGTTGGAAAAGGCCTCTAAGGCCATGAAGTCCAACCTTTGACCCATCACCACATTATCAACTAGACCAGAGCACTAAATACCACGTCCAAGAAACCTTCAGACTGACCCCAGAACATTTGCACAAGACTCTGCCTTAAAACCACGCTCAGGCTTTGTCAGGAGAGGGATTCAGGTGTCACTTACCTACAGCACAAGGGAAGAGCAGAGAAATAATCTGCCAAGATCTGCTGGGGAGCCCTTTTATAGTCACCCTCAGACTGCCCAGGGCATGAATCACCACGGGCAGAACGTCCTGATCAATCTCTGAGCACGTTTCTCTGGAGATCCAGCCTTGGGAATGGACGTCAATTGGTGTAAATAAATCACTCTTTGTAATTATCAGTTTGTCCCTGCGTGACCTGCCCTTTACTGCCTTCCTGGCCCTGCTATTTCCCAGCTTTATGTGGAGGGGACACTCTGCACCTCGTGCTCACGTGGTTCATCCCTGGTGTCTCCCGTGAATGAACTCGTTCCTGGGCAGGTGACAATGAGCCCTTTTCCTGGGTGAGAACATTCTCAGCTCAGCCCAGGAAGAGCTGAAACAGTGAGGGATAAACTGTGTTCTGTGTGAAATCAGACTAATCCAGAGCCTGGTCAGAGCTCTGGCACGGTGCAGAACTCCTGGATTTACAGAGTTGCAGCCCCAGATAAGTGAGGGCAGCTCTCCCAGTTTGACACCAAGCACACATTTCTCTAACACGTTTTACCCATAAAAATGGAAAGAAGGGCAAGAGCACATTTTATATGGAATTAAATGCCCCGCATTCGTGAAGCTGTAAATCATGACTGGATTAGGGG